CAGTAGCTCAGGCAGACAGCTAGCCTCTCTCCTCTCCTTACATTGTAGTACAAATTACCTGCCCCAGGGCAGGTGCAGCATTCACACACACAATAATCAATCACAAACGCAAGAAGTTGCCCCATGACTGCATTCGGCTTTGGGAGGGACATCTACACACAGACCATAACAATGCTATTTGTTTATTCTTGATGTTATATCTTGTGCAATTTAGGCTCTGTCCAAAAAATTCTTTGCTTATACCTGTTTTTTTAAATAGATCATATTTTCTGAAAGTACATACATTCCATGTTTGTCTTATAAAACATATTTTTACATAAATTCCTTTACAATCTAGTATTATCCAGGCCTTCCATTTTGTTTTAGTTTTTCTCCTCCCTTATATAATAGAACAATGATATTAATGCATACATATGTATACACATACATATGGACATACACAAAACCAAAATTCTTTCTTTTATAAAGTTATAAGAAAGACATCAAGAGGACAAAAGCAACAAATATCTTAAAGATTCAGAAAGAAAATACACAGACATAAGAAGTAAACTTCAAAATAAGGTATTTCAGTATCTGACTACTTGTCCAAATTGCAAAAGGTCAATACAATTACTTTGTTGCTCTTGAGATTACATATTAAATAGTACAAAACATTTTATCTATTTTATATTTATTTGCAAGTGCAAAAAGGAAATGCTTGTCTTTCAAAGCAAAAATAATGATTAAAATTATTTACTCACAATATGTAAAAAAACATGTCACCGTAGTATCATAATATCCTTAGGCTCAAGAGCTTTTAAAATTTTCAAATATTGAATATATTTTAATGAATGCTAACTTAAATATCTATGCTGTATATACTACCAGAAATAAGATTTCAGGACCATGGTATTTAACATTAAGTAGTTCCATCTCTGCAAAGGTTAAGAATTACTAAATTAAATTATTAGACAAAGCCTTCTAAATTTAATTATTTAAAATATTTTATACTAATAGGCAAAATATTTCTTAACTAATATGTAAATAACAATAAAGTTATAGCATATCTACTGTTATTTCCTTTGAGGTAACACTTCTGCTAAATGATGCACTATAAAGTTAAGTAAATTAGTCCTAACTATGTACTTTGTTAAAACATGCTATTTTTCCAGCCAAGAAGACAAGCAAAAACATATATTCAGCAAAATATTTCCAAGAGAAATATTAGTTGTAGTTGTGAACACAATTTTCATATTCAAAAATAGATAAGAAAATATATGTAAAGTTCATTATACATGGTACATAGGACTTGTTGATAAGCCTCCTATTTTGAAGGATGTATTACTATGATTTTCTTAATATTTTCATTCTGTTGTCATCTTCTCCGAACTGTGAACACTTTATTGTAGTTGCATTGGCCTCCTTATGTTTAAACACATTATGAACACTCCCATCTCAGGATCACTGAAATTATTGCTCTTTCTTCCTGGAAGGCACTTCTTACAAATATCTACCTAGGCCACATTTTACCTTACAAAAAGCAATCTGAAAGTAACTTTCACTGCTTTAAATTCAGAATTTAAATGAAATGTAAATATTTCTCAAGCATATTACACCTACAGATAAGTTTGTGTTGAGAATGAAGAGCCAAACCCATTTGACTGCATTTAGTTTTTTACAAAGGAATTTTCTTGTGTCTATTTTATAGCCATATGTTTTACTGGCTGAATAGCCAGATTTCCAGAGAACAAAACACCACCATGGTTACAGGATGACTGGAAAGTAACCTCTGTGGCACAGGATGTGCCATGTGATCCTAAAGTCAGTACGCTGGGCAACAAGGAAGAGCACATTTTCAGTTCACAGGTTAAGCTACAGGATGTTTTTAATGTTATTAATTAGATAGTGTGGAAATATGTGACAATTTTTTGTACTCAAAGAGATATATAATGTTTACGGAGTCTCTTGAAAAGAAACTCTTATTTGCTTTAAAATCTTCATTTACACTTCTTAGCTGCTAGTTTCAATTCATTTTAAATCTGTGCTCAAATATCACCACACCTGGTCATCAACCTTCTGAAAGAGTATTTTATTTAATTTTTCTTTACATTATTTATAACCATATGAATACTATATTTTGTCACATTTTATTGCCTCCCTTTCTTTTAGTATGTATAATCCATGAAAAGTTTCTTTAGTTTTGATTCTATTTTATTCTTAACACTTATAAAGGTGCCTGACATATGGAAGATGCTCAATATTAATAAAAACAATTATTGAAATCTCTTATCCATCCAATTCTTTTCTTGAGATATCAATATATTTAATTACAGTTGCTCTTTTCTAGGAAAAAATCATTTGAAAAAGGAGAGGAAATTTGTTGTTTTGTCTAATGGAGAAGACGTACAAAGATGCACAATTTTTCAAGCTATACAAAATTCTAAAACACTGGCACATAGAATGAAGGGATGAGCCCCATTCCTGACAATTCCTTTCCTCAACGCTGTGTACTTTAAATTTTGCAACATGTTCTGGGGCCACAAACAAGTTATGTCTATTTTATTTAATATTATCAAACACATTGTAGAGATAACTGCTTTTGTTTTAACAAGTGTAGTTTAGCATAATATTGCCTAATGCCAACATTTTGGCATTTGCCTGTGTCCCTATGCATTTACTTATGAGCAGCTGTTGTAATGAACAGTTACTAGATACCTAAAAGAAAAATTGACACTTAAGTCCAGATTTCTGTTCAATGCCTATTGCATATCCATGTTGCTTGATTTGGTTCTAGAGTAATTTCTAAATACATTAGGTTTACCCAACTTTGTAGGTGTATGTTTGAATCTTCAAATTCCCAAACCACAAATTTGGATTTTTAAATGTCAAACCAATATATTAATATAGCTTTAAAAAATAGCGTTTATATCTTTCTGAGGATTCATTGTAGGTGATTCTCTGTTCTATCACATTTGTAATTCAGTCCATTCTCTGTTCCTTATAGGATTTAAAGAAAGTGGAGAAGCTTAAGGATGCTTATTTTGACTGGGTGTCAGAGCTTATCTCCTACTACTGAAGTGCTTCTCCATATTGATTACTCCTTTTTAAATGACAAAGTTATACTGAGGGCATAAAAGGCTGCTGTAAAGTTATCAGAACTCGGGGCTGGGGAGATGGCTCAGTAGAATAAGCATTTGCCTGGCAAGCCCAAGTGTCTGAGTACTAAAGGGGAAAGTTATCAGAGAAGCCATACTTTAGAAAAATCCATCTTTAAATCCTCTTGAAACAAAATGGAGACTTAGGCATCAGATCTAAATTAATTAGGTCCTCAATTTAGTTCTTCTATCAAAGATATCCTTGCACATTTATGACATTCTTGTTTTGTATTAAGAAATTACTTCCATTTCACTGACATTGTATGATATTTAATACATTAATTTCCAACCTCAAAATATAAATATCATAACTGAAAGAGAATTTTTAAACTATCACAACAATGTTTATTAAACATGTTATCCATCATTATCTTCTAGCACTTACTTCATTATAAGCATTTCCCTTCTGAAAAATCAATTCATTTGAGTTTTTGAAGAAATTTTTAGGACAGTAGATTAGGTAATTTAAATTCATATACAATAGAGTTAAATGTTAAATGTTATGCATAATAACTAGAAATAATTACAAATATCTGCTAAATCTGAAAGTATAGACTGCACACTTTGAAAATCCTTTCAGTTGGAACAAATGCATCTTTAATAGTAATGCTTATAGCACTTCTTCATGTAAATACAATGTACAAAAGAAAATCCACATATACACATTTTATTTCTTTGAAGTCTATATCACTCAGTCTAATATTGAACTTCTCAAAATATACTGTACATTTTTATTTCAATAAGAAATGAAGTTGAAGGTATCAATATGGAAAACTGACTTTTGCCATAACATTATATTGCTTTTTGTTTTTTATACTGTTTTAAATTTATATAAACAAGACAATATTTGGCAAAAATATTAGGGAAACTTAAATAATGAAACAAAATTTTCAAAATTTTCAGTGCCCCATAGATACATAGTATAAAAAATACCTATAATTTTAAATAAATTATTATAGCTTCATGATGAACCATTACAATTTTAAACTTGTCAAAACTAGCTTTTCTATAGCAACTCTAAATTCAATTGTACTGAAAAGATCATCAGTTTTGCCTACGTGTTGAGAATATAAACATTTCTCTTCATGGAAAGGAAAAAAGCAGTAAAGAACTAGTAGGTTAAGATATATTTGACAATATGAAAACAAATGTCTTCTATTCAAACATAAAAGTAAGGAACAATAAAAAATAAACAATATCCAAAACAATTATTTCCATTTATCCACTTTTATGTTCAAAAACAGCTGGCATAATCTGTCTCCTACTTTAGAAATTTACTACTGAAAGTGATACCTTATTATTTACATTATGCACAATATTTTCATGGTTATAAACAGTCCATTGAAAGTACTAAAATCTGAATCTCGAATGTAAAAGGAAGTTCTATATGTGCATACAAAAGGAACAGAACTTTTCTTTCTCAATAAAATTAATAAAAGAAAAAGAAAAACAGAAATCTAAAAGTCTCTATTAAGCAATATATAAGGATATGGTAAGCAGAGATTTTCTTTTGGAAAAGTTAACCTAACTGACCATGTAGTAAATGCTGTGTTGCCTATTATACTTACGCAAAGAATCACAAAGATTTGAACATCTAAGCTACAGATTATATTTAGAGAATTAATAATCATTTTAAAAGTTCTTCAAACTCAAATAATTATCAATGATATAGAAATGGAGAAGCAAATTTAACACCATAAGAAATGTTCTCTAATTATGAAATCATATGTATTATTATATTTTGGGAGGATATTTGAAGACCCTAACTGCATGAAAATTCAAAGATTTTTATTTAATATTAAATGAACACTTTAGAGAATAAGTAAACTTACTTCGGCTTTCAAGTACATAATCAAAAACTCCTACCGTGCTCTAGAATCCTCTTTATTATCATCAGCCATCATCTCCAAATTTTCTGTGAGTTTCCCACAAGTTTCTTTGAAAAAATTCTCCTCTGGTTCTGCTTTAGGAGTATCTTCATTTGCTGCAAGATGTTCTGTGAAGTTTCGATCCTTTAGATTCTGAAGCTTTGCTTGAAGAATAGGACCCCGTCCTGGCACTGGTGCTGATATATTGTGGTGGACAGCACTGTTGACTTTCTTTAGTCTATTTCTGTCCTGAGAGTGGTTCTTCAACCTGTCCTGAACCGAGGTCCCTCTCTCCTCTCTTCCTTCCTGCCGAAGGCAGCTTCCAATGTTAAGGGAACCTTGTGAAGGATGACTAAACCACCTCCAGCGTAGCCTTAGGATCTGTTTCACATCAAACTCTTTCTTGCCAGACACTGACATAGCTGCAGGAGGAAAGACAAAAGCCTTTTCTAACAGAAAGGAAATGGGGCCTTTGTTATCTCTTGCTTCTTTGCCTCTTCTGTAGAACTAACAAAAGCACAAACACGGAGAGACCAGTCTTTCTTCCTGTCTCTCCCCTCCCCCACTGCCTGGATATACTGAATACTATCAGCTTTCTAGCTGAAGCAAAAAAATTGCAGTTCACAGTGTAGGTGGGAACCCAGTCTGACAGGATGATGAGGTCAGACCTTAAAGAAGTAAATCAGTTTAACACAGGATAACAGCTATCACAACACACTCCAACTGCTAGATTTGCATGCCTAAAGCACTACTGCCTGTGCTTCGTATATCGAATCCATCCTCTTCTCTACCAAAATGCAGTGGCTGCAATTTAAATCCAGGCTAGTGAGTAAATGCAAAGTGCTTAAACTCATTTCCTTTTAGACTCACTCATCATTCCCTGCTAGATTCTGTTCTAATATATTCATTTGTTAAAGTGTGCCACAGTATCCCAGGAGAATTTGCAACAAGAAAATTCATTATGATCTATTTGGGGATTCTTATGAAAAATCTGAATGTAATTTAATAAAGAAAAATATCTTTATCATTTCCTTCATGTAGATTAGCAATTATATTAGGGTTCATTTGAAAATGTTAGTCTCTATGTAAACATTTATTTAAAAACCTGACTAATTTATAAATATAAGAAAGAGTTGGTTATGCATAAACACACACAGCTACACACCCACATACACACATACATCCCACTATGAGACATAAAACACTATTTTAAGCTTACATGTTCTTTATTCTGTTAGTTCAATTAGAAGAAATATACTCTTAGAGACCAAAGATCGAAAATGCAGTTTCTTCCTGGCTGTATGCCTACATAAATACCTCTTTATCATGCCTTTAACTTCCATAGACAGCAGTACAGAACTATGTTATTTGTTCAGAAGTCTTGATGGAAGGATGCATCAGGTAATGTTTTGGAGTAACACAAAATCACCACGTGGTTCCATATTGTGCCAAAATTATATTGAGATCTGAAATTAGAATCACTGCTTTCTGCAGTTATAAATGTTTACACAACACACTGTTAGGGACTAAGAATGTACTTAACAATGACAATTTGAAATTTTGTTTGAAATTTATCAAGCTCTTATGTCTTGTGTATATGTGATAAGAGTTAATTATAGGAGTACATCATTAGGAGCATTGAATTTGCTAGGTTTGGTTTCATTTTTGACTCGATGTTAATGCATGTTTTACCTGGAAAAGTGCCTTTACTTCTTTATACGGCAGTTTCTTCACATATAATATGGGGATTCTAAGCAGAAGAAGTACAAGTATCTACCAGCTTCACTAAGCAATGAAATCAAAATCAGCTTAATGAAATGCGTGCTTCTGATAAGTTTTGGCATGCAATTTTTTTTTATTTAGTCAAAATGTATTTCGAGGCCTCAAACTATTTAGGCTAATATAATGGAACTACTATAACCTCTTACAATTCAGAAACGCTTAGTATAAAACTGTTAAAAGTGAAAACATGAGCTAGCAAGTTAGCTCAGAAGACTAAACACCTGCTTAGGCAAGCACAGGGACTGGGGTTCAGTTTAACCCTGGCACCACATATGGCACCAGCCTCACTTCTGAGCTCACTGAGCCCACCACTGAGACTGGGTGTGGTGGTGCATGCCTGTAATCTCACCACTGGAGAAGCTGTAAACAGGAGGATCATACAAGTCCAAGCTGCATAGTGAAACCCTGTACCAAATACATTTTAAAAAAAACAAAAACACAACTCGTAAACAGCACATTGTATGATTTTCAAAAGCAATGCCTATTAAGAAATGTACAAGACTGGGGGTGGTGGTGCACGCCTGTAATCCCAGCTCTTGGGAGGATGTAAACAGGTGGATCACTATAAACCAGATGTAGTAGTGAGACCCTGAACACCCTGTAGACCCTTCCCAAAAGAAAAAAAAATATAATAATTGTACAAATAGCTCAGTGTATTAAAGCACCTACTTAGGTAGACACAGGGGCTGGGGGTACTATCACCAGGCCAGCTGTGCCGGCCCTGCCCCCAGGGCACTGAGACAGCAATGGAGACTGGGTGTGTTTGTGTGCACCTGTAATCCCAGCACTTGGGAGGCAGTAAACAGGAAGATCACTACCAGTCCAAGCTACACAGTGAGACACTGTAGACCCTGTCCTAAATCCAAAAAAAAAAGAAATGTAAAATAACAATAATATATTGAAGAACTTTCACACAAGGAGAATGTTATTAGTAACAAGGTACTCAAACTAAACTCAAATCTGATTTTTCTGTTTCAATGTTGTTTTATAACTTTGATTCATAAAGCAAATCACAATTAGATAATTGAAGCTTCTTTCAAGCATGGGATTACTAACATCGAAAATTATATTTTCAGGGTAGAGAGTTGTTGGGGGACAGTCTAACTCAGTGGAAGAGTGCTTGCCTACTGTGCACAAATACTTGGGTTGCGTACTCAGTACCATTAAAATAATTCTAAATATTATTTAATAAAGAAATTAGAAGGCCACAAACTACACTGTTTGTCATAAATTCTTTCACCACAAGCTAAAATGAAGCCAGATTTGGTGGCACATGCCTGTAATCCCAACATTCAGGAGGCTGAGGCAGGAGGTTCATCACAATGTCTAGGCTATCCTGAGGTACATATTGAGACCCCATCTCAAAATAAAAGAGTCCACTGCAGCGCACTTACCATTGGATTGAACCACTGCACATGCTCTACCACTGACTTACAGGACCTGATCCCAGTATTGCACTTTTAGGGAAAATATCCCTTATTTTTAGGCTTCTTCTGGATTTAATACATAGTCCCTTGATTGTTCATTCTATTTTCTTAACAGGAAGTGCTCATTTTTCCCCCTGGGAATCTATTTATGAACCAGTTAAACTACAAAATTTTTAACAAGCTATTTATGTTTCATGTGATTATCTATTCCAGATGAAATGTTAACTCTTGTTCTTGGGTATGCTCAATATAATTTTAATGTTAATGTGTAGAGTACATGTAGCTTGAAGTAAAGGTACAGATAAAAGCTTACTTAAATAGGCTTTACATTTTGATCTTTTCCTTTTTCTATTTCTTGACTTGAGACCTTTTGTTTATAAAGATAAAAAGGTAAAATTTTTGAATATATAAGCAAATGAATATTATAGTTCACTTTGTGTTGCCTCAGCTAGTACAGTGAATCTGTACTTACTTTGGTAACATATATGGGGGGAGCAGGTTTGGAGGGGAAGTGTTGAAGTATAAAGTAGTTCATTTTAATAGTAAATTAGGGGCCGGGGAGATAGCTTAGTAGAATGACCTCTTGCCTGGCAAGTGCAAGGGCCTGAGTTCAGTTCTCGGTTCCACCCAAAACAAAAAAGTAAATAAATAAAATAAAAGTGATTTATTTTCTGTAATTACTGATGTTTAATAGACATTTATAAAGTATGTTAAAAACATGTCAAGTTGGTGGGAAAAAGGGTATCATGCATAAATTCAGCTTAATTGACATACATTTTTTATCTAATTTTCTATAAATTCAATGATGTCTTTTACTTTTCTCTCTTGTTTTTATAGGGATGGTGGTTAAGTACAATTTGACTAGTATATGAGATGTCCAGATATTTTACTAAATATTAATTTGGTTATTTCAGAGATGGTGTTTTGAGGTGAATTTTTAACATTTAAGCTTACAAACTAAGAGAAGCAGTTCATTTTCTATAAATTAATAAGACTCAATCAAAAAGTTGAAAACTTGAATAGATCTGATATTCCATTGAATAAGAATGAATTTTTCCTGCCTCAGTACCCAAGTTGGAACATGGATATTCTTTTCCTGTCTTCAGATTCAAACAGAAACACTAGCTTTATCTTGACCTCAAACCTAATAACATTCAGGTGAAGGGATAACATTAGCATGCCTAGTTCTTTAGCTTGTCAGTGCCACATCTTAGAAATGCCAGCTTCCATAATCATGGAAGTAAAATCCTTATAATAAATTATGCACCCAAAATATTTGTTCTATTCTCTTGACTACTCAGACTAATATGGCAGGTTTTCCCCCATACTTGAAATGTAATAAATACAGATTGATACATACTTCACTTTTATATTTTATATAACTTATGAATAGCTTATTTTCATTTCAAACTTTCCAATCTCATTTTCAACATACTTCAGTAGTACTCAGCATATAAAGAATTGATGGAAATGTCAAATAGTTTATCTCATAATTTCTAGGCATGTCAGTGAGTACTGCCAAGTAAACCTGCATTACTTCCCTTTTATCTGGATAGCTAATTTAACAAATAAGAATAGAAATATGATTTATGGGGCTGAGGAGATGGCTCAATAGAATAAGCACCTGCCTGGCAAACACAAGGTCCTGAGTTCAATCCTTGGTACCATAAAGAAAAAAAGAATGAAAAGAAAAGAAAAGAAATATGATTCATGTGTTAGGTTCAATACATCTAGAAGACAGTTTTGTACTAGAAGAAGTAAACTATAAATATTCATACACAATAAATGAAATGCTATAATAGATGTATAAATCATATATGGCAAAAACATGGAAAAATACCGCATTTGTCAACTTTAGTAATTCTGAATAAAATCCTTGCTATGGTTTGAATGTGGTTTGTTCTCTAGGGGTTCATGTGTTGGAAGTTTGGTTCCCTATTTAATGATGAAGAGAACTGGATTCAGTTGGGACATTTGAGACCCCAATCTGAGGAGAAGTTAACATAGGTCTTGTGAGAGTCTGAGTCAGTTTTTAAGATAAAAGATCAAGCCTGACACCTGAGACACTTTCTGGCTTCATTAAGTGATCTTCTTGTCTCTCAGGCACTGCTGTCATTGTGAAGTCATCCATATAAATGACAAGTCTTTCTAAATACCATACCCTGGAATCTCCAAAACCATGTGTTAGATAAATCTCATTTCTACACAAAG